GCTGTCCCGCACCTGCGGCCCGGCACTTTTGAAAGTAGCAGTTCGGTAGCGGCCGGCCAGCACTGGCCGAGCCTCGCCCAATCAGCGTGCGAGGCGGTGCCAGGCGCCGGCCAATCGGCGTGCGCGCAGGGATGCAGTTGCTAAGGAGCGGGGCGGCAGGGTTTAAAATTCAACGCCGCTGACCAATGGCAAGGCGAGCATGAGGCAGGGGCGGGGCGAACGCCGGCAGGGCGGGCGCTGATTGGTGGGAGCGGGCGCCGTTTAAATCCGTTCTGCGCTCTGCAGCGCCGGGGCCGCCATGCCCATGCCGGCGCTGCTGGGCCTGCGGCGGACGGAGCGGGCACCTGGGGCCGCTGGATCCTCTGGGATTACTGCCTCCATTGCCTGCACTGCCTCCATTGCCTGCACTGCCTCCGCTGGGGTCACTGCCTTCACTGGGTTCACTGCCTGCATTGCCTGCACTGCCTCCGCTGGGTCCATTGCCTCCGCTGCCTCCGTCTGCTGGGCGTCCCAGACCTCGGGGCTGCCCCTTCCCATGGGCTGGGGAGCTCCAGCCTCTGGGGTTTGGGGCAGGGTGTGCTGGCCACGCACCTTCCCTGCCCCCGTGTCGCGAACAGAGGGCTCTTGGATCGCTTGGATAATCACGGAGCGCTTTGGGTGGGACGGGACATTAAGCTCAACCCGTTCCACCCCCTGCCATGGGTGGGGACACCTCCCACTGTCCCAGGCTGCTCCAAGCCCCATGTCCAGCCTGGTCTTGGGCACTGCCAGGATCCAGGGGCAGCCCCAGCTGCTCTGGGCACGCTGTGCCAGGGCCTGCCCACCCTCACAGCGGAGATATTTTTATTATATCCAGTCTAAGCCTACTTTGACTGTCTGCAGTAGCACAGGAGCACTGCTCATGTGGTGTCCTACAGGCTGACCAAGTTCGGGGTGAGGCTCTCTGGGACTCCCCCATCACCCACAGGATGTCACAGTCACTGTCACAGTCATTGTGCTACGGGGCTGGATGAGAGACCGGCCACTTCTCGGACATCTGCCGAGGGTAAGAGCACCCCACGTGTATCCAGGACCAGCCCCGAGGGCACTGCAGTTCTTGGGGAGACCCCTGTCCTGCAGCCAGGCTGCTGGACGGGGAGAGCTCGGACAAGGCTCGCTCAGCCTGGCAGTTGGTTTGAAGTCAATGTCCATGTATCAGGAAAGGAATGCATGAGACTCCTCACACCCACAGCTTGCTTTGTTCCTTGATAAACTAGTCTTGGAAAAGCCACCCACTTTTCACGTGTGAGACACATGATCCATGTTTGTATGCTTGGTGCTCACTGTATCACTCTGCTCCTTTTTGAGTTTCCAGCAGAGTTCTTTGCTCTCGTGCCCCCACCCATGCAGTGGTTCTGTGTTCTCGGCAGCTCTTGGGCACAAGTGAAGCCCCTCTGAGGAAAACTCAGCAGAGCTCAGCACTGCAGCAGAGAAGAGCTTCTTCCCCTTGGCCACCAGATTCCCAGAAAAACTTTTCAAATTCCTAAGTTTAACCCAAGAAAATCCTTTCAGATAATCGCACAGCCATGTGCTGCTGTTGTGGGTGGAGCTGATGAACCCCTGGCCAGGGAAACACAGCAGTGCCAGCATCTGAGGGGATTTAAAACTGCTGCCCAAGGGCTGCGTGGGCAGGATCAGGCACATGGCTTGCATGCATGCTGCACACTGCTGCATGCAGGCAGCTCTGCCACCTCTCCAGCAGAAAGACCTGGACCATGGACAGCCAGGAGCAGAATTCTGCTCACAGGTTCACTGGAGGTTTAAACCTGGGTCACACAGATCTTGGGTCCCTTCAGACCCAAAACTGGTCAGGGTTGCTGCAGCTCCAGCCCACCTTGTTCCCTCCTTGGCCACTTGTCCTCTCCAGCCCCAACTGCCCCGGTGTCACTGCTTCTGTCCTTGGCCTGGGGCTCCTTGAGGCTTGCTTGCTCTTGGTTTGGGATCCTGTGGGATCCAGGTGCCTGCCTTGCCCTATGCATATTAAGGCAGTGCATAGCCCGGCCAAAAATACAAGCTGGTGCATACTAGCCAGACAGAGCCAGGACACATCCCACTGCCAGTGGTTATCCCGTGGGATAAGATCCTCAGCCCAAACTCCCATCCAAGTCTGCCCATAGCTCTGTGGAGGCTGGGATGAGCTCCCTGCTTTGGGAAAGGTTCATGTCTAGCTATCCTGCCCAGGCTTGGCACTGGGAAGCTGGCTTTTCCAGTCTCCAAAGCACTGCCATGCTGGTGCTCCTGGCAAGGCCCTTGGGAATCCCAGCCCTGCTACAGGGGTGTGACTCCCACCACGCAAGCTGAAATTGCCCCTGGACATGGGGCGTGTGGGAGAAAAGATGAGGAGAGCAAGAAGTGCAAGGTGAAGCCATGGGTGTGCAGCAGGAACTGTGCCAGCTGTCCAAGCATCGAGACAAGGCTGTGGTCTCAGTCCTGCTCACAATCTATGGATGCTGGGGGCCAGCTGGAGGTGAGACCTCTGCCAGCTCTCCTTAGCTCTGACATTCCCTCAGCTAAACCCCCAAATCAGGTAGAATGCAGGTCCTTGGCTCCTCCCGCTGGACTCTGCTGTGTGCAGGCTCAAGAGCATTTGTGCCTGGCATGTCCCTTTTGCAAGGAGAGCTGGGTTGTTGCTTCCATCCAGCCTCTTCCCACAGCACTAAAAAGCCTGCACTGCCTTTCCTAGTTGGAGCAGCCCCCAGCCCCAGCCTGGCTTCCTGGCACTGCAGGACTGCTGAGAAGCCCCTCTGCAAGGTACCTGGGGACCTTTGCTTCAGGCTGCTTACCAGATGGGAAGCCCTGGGCTGAAGAAGAGCAGCAAGGCCAGGGAAGCATCATTCCTGGGATCCAGATGGACTGCTTTTCCCCTTTCCCTTCCCCTTATTCTTTCCTGTGGTGAAACAGGCCCAACTTGCTGCTTCCCATGGCCCAGTGCCAGAAGTGCTGGTGAGAGGCAAGGTACTTCTCTGCACAGGGAGGGCTGAGCTTTGCCTCTTCCTTTTTCCCCTTTTCATTATTAATGGCCAGGGTCAGGGAGAAATATTGTGCCAAAGAGCTGTTGCATTTATTGACTGGGAAAAAACACAGCAAGTTAAAACTTGGGGCTCTCCTGCCACTGAGGAAAGTAGAGAAGAAAGCATAGAGCAACACGGGGTGACAGAGCTCCTGAATGCCTGCAGGGAGGTGAGAGCCTGTGTTGTGCTGAGCTGCCAGTGGCCACAGCCAGGGAGTAGCTCCCTTGGCACAGCAGAGCTGCATGGCATGCACCACAGTGGGGCTGTGCTGTGCTTGCACACCCACTCCACCTGCCTCTCCCTATGTCCTGGCCATTCCTGCCTCTGCTGCTGACACAGTGCCCGAGTGCAGGGTGTGTTTGCAGCATCAGGAGTGGAAGCCAGCACCCAAGCAGGAATAGGAGCAAGCAGCCTCAAAGGGCTCAGGGTGGGCTTGGCACAGCTGAGCAGGGTTAAACTCTAGAGCCAGACAATGCAAGCTGAGAACAGGGAGGTTAGGTTAGGGTTAGTGGCGTCTGTGGCAAAGGAGCCCATGGCCCACAGAAGCATCACACAGCCCCTCACCACACCGAGGGTCTGCATGTCACCCCCAGTTAGAGGTTTCCATGCTGGTGGAGCAGTGGGCTGATGCACACAGACCCTGCTGCTGCTCAGGATGTCCAGTCACCCCAAGGAGCCCAAACTCTTATGTCTCTCTGATTTCAGATCCCACTGAGCCTGCACCCCTCTGCTGCACTCCGGCCATTTTCTTCCAGTTCTTATTTGGTGGCCGATTTGATCTTGTGTATGGCATATGGGCTTGACTCCCTGGGCATCCAGATTTCGTCCCCACTGTGGCCCTGGTGCTCCCCTGCTCCCTCCATAGCTGCTGTCAGCTCAGGGCCAAAGATGCTGTCAGCAGCCCGGTAGGTGCGGGTGAGGCGGCGGAAGGAGGAGTCTGAGGAGCTGTCATCAGGGACGTCTTCATCCTGCTCATCCCGCAGCTTGGTCCTGCCCAGCTCTGAGCTGCTCCCCAGCTCTGGGTCTTTGAGAGCCTCCCCCACCTCCTGCAGGAAGGTTGTTTTGGGGCTGATGATGCACAGCAGCAGCATGAGGCCTCCCGAGACTCCACAAAGAAAGTAAAGGGCAACTTTCTCTGGGACACCTGAAGGGAGAAGGAAAGAAAGACACCAGGGTACAAACTGCCCTGCAGCTGTGGAGTATAAGTGCCTGCAAAGCCCCTCTGCCAGGATATGGAAGTGAGAGGAGGGGAGCAGGGATGCCCTCACCACCCAGGCTGCAGAGACAGGACAGACCCTGCCCCAGTGATCATGGAAGTGTTACCTAGAGCCTCATCAGCACCCACCAGTCCTGAAATGGGCCTTTCCCCAAAGGAAACCTCCACTGGCATGCGGGGTAGGCAGAGCAGGGGAAAGAATAATCCCTTGGGGGATTAAATGAGTAATTTCCTCTGGCAAGGGAAATTTTTGCCTGCAGAGAGGTGGTCTCCATCAGTGCCTGCAGATAGGGCAGGAAGGAAAAGACTCAGTGGGTAATCTGGCCTGTTGGAAAAGGAATGTCCACAGGCAGGACTGTAGCCACACCATGACTCTTGATGCTGTGAGACTTCGAGGCTCGTTGTACCTCTGAGTTCCCTCCCTACCTGTCCACCCCAAACCCAGCATGGGGGCTTGGTGCCCTGCTCCTTCATGTGCCTGTTGGCCCTGCTGGAGAGGTTTGGGGTCTGGCTGCTCTGAGATGAGCCCTGGGTTGAGCTGGGGCCATCTGGGATGTCAGCCACCCCCCAGCCTGTCCTGTTTCCCCAGGTGCTGCGTGAGACCCAGGGAGGGCACATACCCCAAAGGTGAGCAAAAGCTGCCAGAGAGCTAGTAAAAATCATGCGGTCTTCCTGGAGCCTGGAGAACCTGGGCCCTTTGTACCAGCCACCTGCAGTGACAAGGGGATGCAGGCTGAGGCACGAGGTGCTCTCGGTGCCCCGTGTCCCGGCTGCCTGCTCCTGCCTGCCCTTCCCCACACCACACTCCATCCTTCCTGCACAAGTGCTCTGCTGTCCACAGGGATGACCCCGTGTGTCTTCCTCTCCCCTGCTCGCAGCAGATGCCACCTCCATCCCCTCAGGATGGGCACTGACCAAGGGATGGCTTCCACCGTGGGACAGGGATGCTGGGCTGGAGCTGGTACCAGGCATGCAGGCAACCCATGGTGGGTTCACCCGAGCACACACATGGTGCCACGCTGCTTGTGGTGCAACCCTCCTCCCCCCACGTTACCGTGCATGTAGTCCGAGAGCAGGAAGGGGTCCGAGGTGTCAGGGCCCACCTCCTCCAGCAGCTGCTTGGGCACTGCAAGGAGAGCACACAGCAAGCATCACCACCCTGCTCCTCCTCTGGGGATCCCCACAGCCCCGCCTGCCTGGCACGGCGTGGGCAGAGCAGATGCTCCACAGGGACCCCTGTGCCCCTGGCTCCGTGGGGAGCTCTCACCACAGGTGTAAGAGACTCGCAGCTGCTTCTTCATGCCGGGGAGGCACGGGTCCCCGAAGGTGGCCTTGTCAGCAGCCACAGTGCAGTTCCCCTTGCGGTGGCACTTCTTGGAGACCCTGCGCAGAGCGTCTGGAGCCACGCACTCTGCAGAGACATGAGGCACGGACCCATGGGCAGAGCTGCCTGCCCCTCCCTGCTGGGCATCAGCCAGCACAGGCCAAAGGACACAGGTACAGCCCAGAGCCCACTTGTGCCATGCTCTGTGCGTGATTCCTGCCCCATTTCTGTCTCAAACCATTCTGCCATACCTATATGGGGTTCTCCAGTGTTCAAGGCATCACATTCTGGTTTGCCCCGCAGGAATCGTCCATAACTTGCAGAATAAATGGCCAGGATGGATTTTGGTCGACACTGCAGCCTGAGCTTGTCATTCTCACACACGGTCTTGACCCGATGGTTCCCTAGGGAGTGACATTGCTGAGTGCCCAATGCATCCTGAATCTTAGGCCAAAGGAAGGGTTGAAAGAGGGCTGCGAGCTGCAGGAGCAGCCATGCTCTCCTTCCTGCCCCTTTCTGAGGGGGCAGAAAGCTGAGGTCAGGGAGAACCCTGAGGTCAGGGAGAGCCCATGCAGTGTTGCCCAGCCCGTGCTCCAGCTCACCTGGACGGCACTTGTAGGAAGCGATGAGATACTTGTGTGTCCCAGGGCATGGGTCTGGCCCAAAGACCTGGCTGTGCACTGAGAACTGGCACCACTGCTGGTCCTGGCACTCAGCCAGCAGCTTCTGGAGAGCAGAGTGCGAAAGGTGTGAGTTGGGTGAGACTCCTGAGGCTGTTCTCACCTCCTTCACCACGCTCAGGGGAGGGGCCTCTCAGACACCCCACAGAAGCGTCCCATAGCTGCTCCTGCCCACCCCGATGCAATTCCAGTGCCCGTTCCTGAACCAGTGTCCCCCTTGCACCCACAGTGAATTGTGTGCCCTACACAGGTGCTACTACCTGTGGTGGCATCTCAGTGCCATGCCATGCCATGCCATGCCATCCTGTACCACGCCATGCCACGCCACGCCATGCCATGCCACGCCACGCCATGCCATGCCACGTCATACCATGCCGTGTCATGCCATGCCACGTCATGCCATGCCATGCCATGCCACGTCATGCCATCCCATCCCGTGCCGTGCCATCCCACGCGTGTCTCGCTGTCCCGCCGCCGGCCGGCGTTCCCGGTCCCTGCAATGTCCCCGCGCGGCCACAAGGTGGGGCCCAGGGCGCACCCGCGGGCCGGGGGGCCCCGCCCGTGGCCGCGGCTGTGTCCCCCGGCTGTGTCCCCTCCTGTCCCCCGGCTGTGTCCCCCGGCTGTGTCCCCTCCTGCCCCCCGGCTGTGTCCCCTTCTGCCCCCCGGCTGTGTCCCCTTCTGCCCCGCGGCTGTGTCCCCTCCTGTCCCCCGGCTGTGTCCCCTGCTGCCCCCGGCTGTGTCCCCTCCTGTCCCCCGGCTGTGTCCCCTTCTGTCCCCCGGCTATGTCCCCTTCTGTCCCCCGGCCGTGTCCCCCGACTGTGTCCCCTTCTGCCCCTCGGCTGTGTCCCCTCCTGCCCCGCGGTCTGTGTCCCCTGCTGCCCACAGGCCGTGGCCGGTGTCCCCCTGCCGCTGTGTCCCCCCTTTGTCCCGCAGCGGCTGCCGGCAGAGGGGAGAGGTTTATTCCCTTGTTCTCCCTTCGTGAGCCAGGCCCGGGGATCCCAGCGCCCCAAACGGAGCCCTCCTCGTGTCTCCTTCCCCTCCCCTGTCCCCATCCCTCCCGCCCAGCCCAGCACTGAGCCTCCGCCTGCTCTTCGCTGGCTGCCAGAACGGAAATTCACGGAGGAAACACAAGCGATGTCTCCTCCCAGCTGCTGCCTAACCAGAGCAGAGCCTTGGCAGCAGCTCCGCTCTCTGCCCTCCGGACGTGCCTGTTCCTTGAGCAGCAAGAGGGTATTGCAGCCCTGTGCCAGCATGGCCACCCCACCGCTTACCCGGTGTGAGCCCGAGCTACGCAGACCTGGGCCAGACCTGCCCCTGTTCCCAAGCACCTGTGCCTGGCCATGCTCTCCATCCTGCAGAGAGGGGGACCCTGACCTGCCTTTGCAGGGTGGCTCTCGGCACCAGCCTGGTGTTTTCAGAGCTCCTGGAACATGCAGGATCCCAGAAGGGGATGTGTGGTCAGAGCAGGACCAGGCAGGAAAGCCCTGTGGGCTCCTAAGCAGGGCACTGCCTCATTCCCTGTTCTTGTAGGCAGTTGCAGACACTGGCTTTGCAGCAGGTTTGCCCCAGCCTTAGCAAGGAGCTGGAGCAGGGTCTTAGAAAAGCAGCAGCGTATGAATCGATGTCCCTATCGAGGGACCTAGGCATCAGCTTTGAGGAGGTTCCATCCCTTTTCTTCTGTCAGCCTCTGCTTTCCTGCCCTTTCCCTGCACCAGCTGCTGCCATCAAACAGGCACCCCTTTGGTCTGCTTCACTAATCCAGTCCCTGGGAGCTGCCAGCACCGGTGGGTGCTGCTTCTGGCTGGGGAAGAGCCAAGTTCTGTGCTGACCCCGGGGGATGCAGCCAGAGGGGTGAGTGCAGCAGCTCAGGGGGTCCTGTCAGTTCATGAGCCCAGCAGCCTGGCTATGGCACTGCCCCTCTCGAGGAGCCAGCCCCAGGTGCCAGGGCATTCGGTGAGCCGGCTGCTTCCTGTGGGATTGCTCCAAAAGCCATCTCCAGACACAGCAGTGCCTCCTGCCAGGCTCTACTCTGGAACATGTGGCAGAACATCTCTTCCACCCTTAACTTCCAAAAATGGTCTAGGAAAAGGGCCCCACAGTGAATCACAGATGATACAAACCTATGAGGAACTGTTGACTCACTGGAAGGCAGAGAGGCCCCACAGACAGACCTCAAGAAATTAGAGGACTGTGCAATCACCAACCATAGGAAATTCAGCAAGGGAAAGTGCTGGATTCTGCACCTGGGAAAGGGCAGCCCTGGGTGTATGGACAAATTTGATGTTTGAAAGCAGTGCTGCAGCAAGGGACCTGTGGGTCCTGGTCAACAACAACCTGAATATTGGTCAGCAGTGCCCTGGCAGCCAGGAGAGCCAACCTTGTCCTGGATGGCATCAGGCTCAGCCAGGCCAGGGAGGGGATTGCACATCTCTGCTCTGCATGGGGCAGCCTCACTTTGTGTAGTTTTGGTCACCGTAATATAAGAAAGATACTAAACTATTAGCATCCAAAGGAGGGCAACAAATTGTGAAGGGCCTTGATGGGAAGCCTTATGAGGACTGGCTGAAGACACTCGGCCTTGTTCAGCCTGGAGGAGTCTGAGTCCTCATTTCAGTCTACAACTTCCTCACGAAAGGAAGAGAAGGAGCAAGCACTGATCTTTCCTCTGTGGTGACCAGTGACAGGACCTGATGAAATGGGCTGAAGTTGTATCAGGGCAGGTTTAGGCTGGATATTAGAAGAAAGCTCCTCTCACAGAGGGTGGTTGGGAACAGGCTCCCCAGAAAAGTAGTCTCAGCACCAAGCCTAACAGAGTTCAAGAAGGGTTTGTGATTCTTTGATTCCATGATTCTGTAATCCTGATGGAAACCTCCCCAGGGCATGGGGAGGCTGCACTGCCTGCAGCCCCCAGCCCAAGCAGCTCAGTGATGTGGGGCAGAGGGCTGTCAGCCTGGCCCTGGGGTCCCTCCCTTACCAGGTGGGCGGTGGCAGACGTGCACTCGGTGCTCTCCTGGGAGGCATTGTCGGGGCTGGGGCAGAGGCTGGTGCTGGGCACCCGGCGCCCATAGAAAGCCCCCAGGATGCTGATGGTGGTTTTGCGGGGGCAGACGATGAGGAGCTGCTCTCCATCACAGGTGTGGGCAGTGTGGTTCCTCAGCACCTTGCGCAGGTACCCTGGAAGGGAAAGCAGGGGTGGTGTTGTCCAGAGGAGCCACCAGAGCCACGGCAGTGGTGGCACTTGGGCACCCAAGTGCTGGTTGCAGCGAGGATATCTTGAGATGAGGCACTTATGGGGTGACCAAGATCAGAGCAGGACAGCAGCAGAGAAGATGGGCCTGTAGCAAACCTTGCATACAGCATTGCTGCCAGGAGCCTGGAAAGCAGCACAGAACAGCTGAGCTGGTTAGCAACAGGAAAGGAAAGATGGAGGCAGTACAGCAAGCCAGAGAAGATGGGGGAATCCCATAAGGAGTTGTCAAGTGTTTATAGAGAAAATCAGGCTTGTTATGGAGTCATGGTGGGGAGAGAACAAGAATGAGCCAGAGATGGTTCCCCAGTGGTGATCTCTGGAGTCAGGGTGAGGAGGATGCACTCTGTCACAAGCTGAGCCATGAGCTGGATGAGAGAAGGGTCCAGGGGCTGCTGCAAGCTCCCACAGCTGGCTGGGTCAGTATGGAGGAGTGTGAGCCACAAAGTCATCACCTGAGCCCAACTGGCCTCAGGTCTCTGCTGAAGAAGCCCAGGGTGTTGGTGCAAACTATTCCTGGCCCGCAACCCTTTCAATGGGCACTGGCCCTTCCTTCCTTGAATTCCCATCACAGAATGTTTCTTTCTTCCAATCCTGCCTAGTTCGTGTCCCAAACTACTGCCCCTGTTTTTTCCCTACAGGGGACAACAAAGTGGGACTGTCCTGTCCAGTCTCTCCAAGGGCTTAACATGCAGCATTGGCTCCAGTTGGCATAGGCTGTACTGGGTGGGCAAGGAAGCTGTTTTAGTAAGAGCTCTTCAAGCTGCCAGGTGCTCTGAGCAGGCACCAGTTGCTGGAGAAGGCTGAGGAAGCAAGAAAAGCTGACGATATGCCCTGAATGAAGCACTTTTCATCTTTGAATAAAACAAAAGCAAAGGGGAAGCATCATTTTGAGGCTTGGGACATTGCAGCAGGGCAACATGGGGCTTCTGAGCAGATCACAGACCCCAAACCCAGCTCTGGGGTCTTTGGGGGAGCTTGCAGCTCAGCCCCAGGCCAATGCTGGGGCCCAGGGCAGGACATGCACCCTGTCCCCCAAACCCCAGTGTGTCAGACTCCCCCAGACCAAGACAAGAAGGTGGGAGCACCAGCTCCCCCACCCCCCTCTGCAAACTGGTGCCAGGCTCAGCAGCACAAAGGGCCCCTTTCACCTTCAGTGCTGCCACTAACCCCTCAGCATCTGCAGTCAGAGTCCCTCCTGGGATGTCAGCGGGTGCAGCTGGGAGCTGCCTCCAGCCTGGAGTTAATGTCTCCCTTGGCATTATTCCTCACAAGCTGGGATGAGCAAGTGGGTGGCCACAGCATCCCAGAAGCAAGCCCTTGATTGCTTCTCTGCATGCTGGAGGAGAGAGGAAAGGAGAGGTACAGGAGGGTAGATGGCAGTAGACAAGGTGTTCTAGCCAGGTCAAAGCTCCAGTGTGATGCAAAGATGTTCTTTGAATGGCACAGACTGGAACAGACCCTTGGAGTGCAGTGTTCACAAAGAGGGGACAGGACAAACCCTATCCTGTCCCTCTCCTCTGGTTGCCCCATATCACTGGATGCTGGGGGCTGTGAGGGGCACAGGACCCTGCCCAGGCTGCCAGCCCCCATCCCCTTCCTCTGCATCCCTGCAGCATCCATACATGCAGCACCAGCCCCATACCTGGCAGCAGTCAGATGCCCCTGAAGGTTTCAGAGCCACCCTGGCCTTGACCTCTGCCTAGCAATGACTCCAAACCCAACACTGCTGGATGTAGGGCAGCCTTGGATACAGAGGGCTCAGACAAATTCTAGGGATGTCAAGGAACTCAGGGAAGAAATATGAGAAGAAATGGGTTTCCCCAAATCCAGCCTTGAGGCAGCCACTCCGTTCTGCTGTCATGCCAGCTGCAGGCACCAGTGGTTTGTATTTTAAAACTGAGGCTCAGACATTGCCATGGGTGCAGAGGTTTCTCCATCACACTCTTTTGGGCCAGTGAGGAGTTGTGAGGATGATTTTTTGGGTGGAGCCATGTCAGGGAGGCTGCTGGCAGACTTTGTGCCAGTAGAGCTGACTCAGTCTCCGGTGCTGTGGTTGTGCCGTTAGCTCTGCCCCGATGAAATCACATCCTCCTCACCACAGCAAACCCTGCAGCATCAGCCTTTCACCCACCTGGGCTCGGCTGAGCAATGGAAGGTGTGCGTGGGGAATGCCTGGTGCCCAGCCTGCCTGCTCCTGTGCTGACTGTTCAAAGAGCTGGCACAGAAGGGATCCCAAATCTGTGCCTTGTCTCCATCTATAAGGTTCACTGGCATGGCCCTGGGGAGAGCTCCTGGCCCATGCTGTATCTTGTGGCAGGGGACCCTGCAGCACCCAACTCACGAGTGGCTCTAGGTGGGGCGCAGCCACCAGCTCCATCTAGGAACCAGGTACAGCTTCAACCCAACTCTTCCCCCTGCCCTCCTCGGAGCAGGGAAGGCTGGCAGGGCAGCCCTGGGTGCTGCTTCAGCCCAGCACCAAGAGTAGAAGCATCGTGGCTGAGGGTATGCTCAGCAAAGCTCAGGGACTGGCTTGATATTTGTTTCTTTGCATTTCTGCCTGCAAAACACCCAAGAGAGCACAGCAGAGCTGGGGAGCCACTCTCACGCAGGCTGTGGGATGCGTGCAGTGTGTTTTCAGAGAACGGCCCTGCGTGGAGATAAAGAAATCCCAGCATTTTGGGGAGACTCACTCTGGCCTGCCATGGTTTATACCTCACTTGTCCCTACCCCACCGAACTGCTGTCACCTCGCCCTCCCATCACATGCTGTCACCTCGCCCTCCCATCACAGCAGCGCGTTCTCAGCATCCCCCTGCTCCCCGCCGCCCCCGACTCACCGGACAGCTCCGGGCTGGCCTCCAGGCTCACAGCAAGGCAGAGCAGGACCGCGGTGACCGCTGGCCGGAGCAGCCCGGCCATGGCACAGCCCCGTGTCCCAGCCGGCAGCTGGCACCGGGGCCGGGCGGTGCCCGCGGGGCTGGCCCTACGCGGGACAATGGCTCGCTTCTCTGCCCTGTGCTCGCCGGGCACATGTGTGCTCACTCCCAGCCTGCTGCCAGGGCCAGAGGCTGCTCGGGACAGCTGGGTCACTCAGCACAGAAACGCTTCCCCCAGGGCACCCTGGTACAGGTGAGCCGTGCCTTGGCATCCCATTGCTGGCAAAGAAACTGGCAGTCCCTTCCCTTCCACCTCTGCTCCCCCTGGGCAGAGGAACAGGGCTTGACAAGGTTTCCAAAGTGCCCCGAGCTTCCTCCCAGACACAAATCCAGATAAATGCATGCTGTAATCTCAATCTCGGCAAATGTCCGGCCATTCACTCTGTGAGGAGGAAGGGAAAGGCTCCCTGACCTGCCTCCCAGGCGGCTGTTCCTGCAGAAAAGACAAACACCCTGCACCCAACAGTGTGGGAAGGGACCTCTTTGCTGCCACGTTTCTGCCCCACAGCCCCTGTGGGGCCAGGTGCTGGCACCCTCTAAGTGAGGGCACCGTGCCACACTGTGCCCCCACCTGCAGGATTAAATCCCTGCTCGCTGCTTCAGCTGGAGGGGAATGCCAGGGGCTGGAGCTGCCCGCTCTGCGCCCGGCTGAGCTCAGCAGAGACAGAGCAGCTGCAGTGCCAGGAGCCAACACAGCTCCCCGAGGGTCAGCACTGCCCAGGCAGGGGTAGCTGGGGAGGCTGTGGCAGCAGTGGGGACTGGCACACCTCACCTGTGTTGCTGTCAAGGCAGGACCAGAATGAAGAAGACTCTGATTCAGAAGGCTGTGAGAGTAAAACTCCCATTTATTCAAAATGCACCGCTCTTTTATACAGAGCTTTGTGAGGACCAACTCCTTTGGTTCTGAAATGAAAACAACCCACAGTATTGGTGCAGAGTGCTTGATGCACAGTGATAGAATTAACTATAAACAATGAGAGATAAAGAATTATTTACATTCTTTCCCAGGCCTCTGCCTGGCTAGAAAACTCTCTTCCTTTGACTGAATCTGAGTCCCACACACCTGGGGTCCACAGTGGGAGCTGTGTCCTGGGTGTCCAGCTTGTATCAGGGTAATGCCACGGCCCTGTGGGGCACTCACAGTGCCACCAATACACACCTCTTGATTATGGGAGCATGAGTCAGTGTCCTGTCCCATCCAGTAGGGTTCCAAGTTCTCCCAGAGTTTTGATGGGGCAGAAAAAAATTGCCCCCCCACCCCCTGAACCCCTAGTGTTAGCACCACTCTGGGCTGTGTAGCAGGAGCAGGGGAAACATCTTTGCTGGGGAGTCTCCTCCAGGGGTCTGCAAAATAATTTCCCATCCAAATCACCTTGAAGGAGATTGCTGTCTGATCAGGGTTTGATTATTTGGGGAAAGCTGGAGCTTATCTGAGCTGGGGAGGCGAGCTGAGTCAAGCATTGGAGATCCCCATTTTGTGCAATGGTACCAGCTATGTGCTCTAGGGGTGTGAGACAGGCCTTGCCTGAGAGTTAAACCCGTGTATGCTGGGAAGCTGTTCCTGCAGTCTCTGCAGCCAGGGTGATCTGACTGCAAACAGTTCCCTCCCATCCTGGGAGGAAAGCAAGCTGTTCATCCTTCCTGCAAAACAGCCCAGTTCCAGGAATGGGGCCCTGCTGAAGGTCAGCCCCAAAGACATCCCATCCATCATCCTGCCAAGCCCCACGTAGCTGGGCGGCTGCCAGGGGCACTCTGGGGTTCCCCACTGCTCCCCGGCATGCTTCAGCATCTTCTGTCTCCTCCCTTAGCTTAAGATTTTGCAATATTTTCCGCTCAAGGCCTATGCCTCAGCTTCAGAAAGTCAGGGCCATGTGCCCAGACTGCTCCACTCAGCTTCCCCGAGCCTTGCCCCGTGCAGCCCAGCTCATTGCAGCAAGGGGAGCTCACACAAGCCCACGCAGGGATCCCCCGAGGGTGGTGGGCTGGGAGAGGACTGTGCCCTCCCTCTGGGTGGCTGCCTGGCATAATGCAGCCAAAGGAGGCAGCAAAAAGGTCAGCCAGGTTCACCCCAAAGTGATAAAGAAGCCCTGGGGCACTGGACACCAGCATGGGGGTGGGAGAGCGGTGAAGAGCCAAGACAGGAGGAGCAACAGGCAAGACACCTCCTCTATAAAGCCCTGCTCCCAGCTGGGAAGGGACAGCAGCAGTGCTGGGAGACCAGAGGTGCTGGGGATGGCAGCCCAGTGCTCCGAGGGCCTGGAGGAGCACCTGGGTGGGTGCGATAGACTCCAGAGTGGCAGATAGAGCCGTGCTGAGTCACAGCTGAGAGGCCCTAGCGCTTCCTCCCCTTGCTGGCGGGTCCTGGCGTGCACCCCATTGCTCCTCCCTTCAGCAAAGGAAGGAAAGTGTGAGCTCCAGCCCTCAGCGGAGCAAGAGCAGCCCAGCGGCCCGAGGCACCAGCCCTCGGAAAGCCTTTCCCATCAGAGCTCTGCAGGGCACAGATCGACTCGCCACCGCGGCCAGCGCTGGTCCCGCTGCTGGGATGGACGGTCGGCAGCACAGCCCCACCAAGGAGCCCGAGATCGAGCTGTTCGTGAAGGTGGGTCTGGGGAGGGGGGCACTGACTCTTTGGCTCACCCTCGCCGAGATCCAGCTGCGTGCAGGTGTTCTGGGAGGTGTTCTGGAGATGGGCGCCGGTTCCAGTGCCACTGGCTGAACGCCTGCCCAAACGGGGGGACCCTGCGGCGCTGGGGAGACTCTGGGGTGTCCCACTCGGCAGGCTGAGAGATGCCCTGGTCTTGTGATGGCTGTGCACCCCGGAGAAGTGGCACTGCTGGCAGCAGCAGGACGAAGGAGTGGGAACACACACGCCTCTCAAAACCCAGATAAGACAAGCCCCAGCCTGGGAACAGCAAGCAGGAGGGCTGGGAGCAGCCACTCCAGCTTCTTCTGAGAGCAGAGTTGCGAAACAAGCGTGGATGGCTTGGGGAGCTGGTGTGGGAGTCCACACGTGGGCGAGGTGGGGCGGCATCACCGAGGGGTGCTGGCTGGAAACGGTTTCTGTTTTTCCCTGTTAAGCAATTTTGTGAAGCCTTTCCTTGGAATATTTTAACACGAGTTCAAAACATCTGCAGCGGCCATGGGTGGAGCCAAAGCTGTGGTCAGTAGCTGTGTCTGCCCACAGCAGTGCCAGGGGGCCCAGGACACGCTGTGACAGTGAGCAGGGGGCAATGGCTCTCTGTGCCACCCCAGCGAGGTCTTTAGGGTGGTTGCTCTGTAGGCACTCAGGTCCATGGGCTTCATTGCTCTCCTCCTGGGGCAGTTTGGTGCCCAAAAGGACTGGGTCAGAGGCACTGGCTTCCCTGGCACAGGCACCCAGCAGTTCTAGGCACTGAATGGTGCCTTCCTTGGGTAGTAGTTAGACATACTTGCTAGAAAGGATTAGCTGAGCCTTCCCAGGAGAGTTCTCTCTCATCCCCGTGCTAAAATTGTAGCCACAGCACTTCTTGATGGACATTGAGCTTTGCTGAGCTGGATCTGGACAAGTATTTTTGGTAAAAGTAATCTGTCTTGAATTCTCTGCTTAACACTTTTCCTTGGGACGGCTGGAAAAGAAAACAATACATGAGGTGACTGAAATGGCAGCAGCACATTCTAGGGGGTTTTCAGAGGGAAGTGAAACAGAAAACCAGCAGCAGCATCAGGACTTCCCCTGTGCTGTAATGTAGCGTGCAAAAACCGTCCTGGCTTGTCTGTTCACAGAAAGGTTGATGATGTTGTGCCTCCCCATCCCGACTCTCACTTTACCAAAGACACAGTGGCTCTAGCTGCTGACAGGAACCTTCCTCTAGCTGCCTTCAGCACCTCCCTGGGCTGGGAACGCCCCAAACACAGCTGCTGCTGTGAGCAGGGGCAGCTGGAAATCATGGGGAAAGCTGGTGCTCCCACAAGTGCCTGCTGGTACAGCAGGGCATGGCATGGCATGGCATGGCATGGCATGGCATGGCATGGCATGGCATGGCATGGCATGGCATGGCATGGCATGGCATGGCACCCTGCCTGCCTTTCACTTGGCACATGCTGGAGTTACCATGGTAAGGATGGACACAGTGCAGAGCAGCTCCCCTTTACCCTGAGCTGGGGGTGGCTGGTTCCCAAGGGGCTGGCAGCTTCTCACCTGCCATGTCCCTGGCAAGAGCATCATTGTGCTGGCTGGGAGGCTCTGCTCTGCACCTCCACCAGGCATTTAGCTGCTCCCTGGCTCTCAGGTTGGTTGTAGGAGTTGGGGCAGGTGCCATGGGGACTGAACATTTAGCAGTGCCCATGCAGGCAAAGCTGTTCCCTCCTCCCACTGCATTTAAGGTTATTTCACCACGGGGAAACCACAGGAACTGCAAAGTAGCTTTGGGGTTTCAGTGCCCTGTGCAGCCTAGTGATGCCTCAGAAAGCTGGGGCTAAAAGCCTGCAACCCTCCTGGAGGTTCTGTGCTCATCCACGCTGGGTTTCTCGATCATCTGAGGGGAAAAGATTGAGGGATGCCAGTCTGTGCCCCCACCCCAATCCCTGCTGCAGCAGGAGGAGCAGCAGAGGCACTTTGGGGAAGTGAAGAGCAATGATTCCCCCCACTCTGCTGCTCTGCGTTTGCCAGGGAGGGAGGACACATGGCTGCAAGTCTCCTCTGAGGGCTCCTGGCTCCCTGAGGCTCCCCTCATGGCCAGTGGTTGCCAGCAAGGCCCTTCCAGAGCCTGATGCTCCCCAGCACTGCCTCCCTCCAGTTCCTCCAGATAAAGGTTTTGGCCCTGAGCATCCTGGTATGGGCTTGACTCTTTCTCCCTGCAGAGGCCATTTTGATTTTCTTTTCACTCTAGTCCAAAATTCCCCACCTCTCTATATTTAAAAGATAAGGGCGAAGACCAGCCTGAACAGCTCAGGGACTGGAGCTACCAGACAAGCACGGGAACACCTGAAGAGGTGATCAGAGTCTGTGTCCTGAGCAGCCCTCAGCACAGGCACTCCTCCCCTCGCCCACCCCCTGACCCCCACCCCACCCTGTCCCAGCGTGGCTCCAGCAGAGCTTTGTGCTGCCAGCACAGCAGCTCCTGGGGACAACAGGACACATTCAGCCCCCTCATCCCCAGCCTTGTGCAGCTGGCAGGGAGAGCAGGGAGGAAAGCACTTCTCCTCCTGCTGGGCAGCACAAAGGCACTTGCTGAGCTGTTGATTCTGGAGATGCTCCAAAGCATGGCCAGAGTTGGGGTCACAGGTGGCAGGGGTGCTGGGGAGGGGGAGCAGAGATGCCCTGTGCTCTTGGGCAGCCTCGAGGCTGCTCCCTGACTCTCCCCGCAGCTCATTCAAAGGAAGACTGAGACCCAGTTTCACCCCTTTCCAAAGAAGCCCTATTTACTATTAATGACACAGGATGTTCCTGAGCTGTAGCCCCTCTGGGAGTATTTGCTCTTATTAATATACACTGTCTAGATTCAGATTTACTGTTGGGCACATCCTAGGGAATCAACATTTCTCAGTTCCCATTTCCTTCCTCAGATTTCATGACATAATTTCATGACAGTTGAGCATAAAAAATACTTGTTAAAAGTAATTTTCATTCCTCTGGAAGGACTAAAAGGTCTTGGCACGATGGAAAAACAAAACCCCTGCTCCAGCTTACTACCCGGAGTATTGGAAGGTTGTTTTCATCCTTTTACAGTCCCACTTAACATGAGTTTGATGTCAGTCTTCTCTTCCTGGAGAAGCCATGCACTCCCGATTCCACAGGTTTTTGGGTGCCTGTGGTGAATTGTAGCAGCTACCTCCAGCCCAGGAGAACCAGGCACAGGTCTCTGTCTCCTCAGCCATCCTGTCTCTGGGTCCCAAAAGAGGTGTGCGTTCTGGAGCCGTGTCCAGCTGCCCACCCTGGAGGTTTTTGCTGCTACTTGACTCTGCCAGACCCTCTGAAATCTCATCACCCTTCTGCTTAGCCTCAGGACTTCAGCTCACTGTCAGATATCAGGGCTTAGCACAGAGCTGTCCCACTAAGACTCACGTCCCACCCCACACTGCTCCAGGGGAGCAGCATCCTCCCGTGATGGGGCTGGCAGAGCTGTGCTGCTCCTCCCTGCCGGGGCAGGGTGGCCACACGAGCATTGTGGTTCACATGCAGCTTAGGAACCCGGTGACTCTCTTAGAGAAACTGAGTTTCCTGTGAGCCATTTTACCTCTCACCACAGCACAGCTTCCGCCTCACAGCAGCATCTCATCCAGTTTTTGTGAACGGGAGAACCTGCCACATCCTCTTACCAAACTTCTCACAAGGTGTTTCAGTCGTTTTTGCAAAGGATATTTCCAGCTGCTGCATAGCAAGGAAATGTGCTTCACTGCCTGTGGCCGTGCTCATGCAGAGGGGCTGCAAGGGGGTCCTGGAGCAGGAACTCAAGGTGTGGGATGCCAGCACAAATTGTCTTTGGCACAACCCTCCTGTGCCCAGCCTGGGGCAGGCTGCTGGGTGCTTCTTGGCCTGGGGACTCATGCCTGGGTTGGTTAAACACCCACGAGGCCGGAGGCAGACACGACCAGCACATGAAAACAAGCTGCTCTTTTCCTGGCAAACATGAGCTCATTTCCCTTCTCCCACCCTCTCCAGACTGGCCTCCTGGCCAAGCTGCACCCTCCCTTCCTCCCCATCCATTAGCAGTTACTTTCTCCCTACCTCCTTCTCCACCTCCTCCGGGCTTTATCTCACATTTCAGGGAAGGATCTGACCCCTGGCATCCCGAGTATGCTCTTGGTGGCCCCCAGGGCCATGGCTCAGGGTGGGTCCTACAGCTGACCCCTGGCATCCCGAGTATGCTCTTGGTGGCCCCCAGGGCCATGGCTCAGGGTGGGTCCTACAGCTGAGCCCCCCTGAGTCTGGAGGGGCTCCCTGCAGCGTGCTGTACACAGCGGCTCTTCAGCTCTGGGGCTCAGTCTGTGCAAGGGTTAAATCTTCATTTTTCTGCTCTCCTGGCAGGCTGGTCTGGATGGAGAAAACATTGGAAACTGCCCCTTCTGCCAGCGCCTCTTCATGGTGCTCTGGCTCAAAGGGGTCAAGTTCAATGTCACCACTGTGGACATGACCAGGTGAGTGGCACTCGGGTGGGGTGACACATGCCCTGCTCAGCTCCCCCATCAGCACGTCTTCCCCCGCCTGCTCTGCAGCTCGTGTGTCACTGCACAGGAGCAATTGCTGCCCAAAACTGCCCACCTCACTTGGGGTACAAGTGTGGGCCAGCACGGACTTGGGCCACCTGCCAGTGTGCATGGCCCCATCCTGCTGGATGTGAGGATGACTTGAAGGCACCACTGGGCAGATCCAGAGGCTGGGGAGCACTTGTCAGCTCCCTGAAGCCAGCAGAGCTGGGAATGTTCCTGGTCCTGTGCTCCCTCCTACCCCCACCTCTGCCGTGTCCACTTTCCCTGGGGACTGGCGGAGGCAGATGTGCTACAGGCTCTGAGCCTGCTTGTTCTCTCTGCTCCAGGAAACCTGAAGAGTTGAAAGATTTAGCACCAGGCACCAACCCACCCTTCTTGCTGTTCAACAAGGAGCTGAAAACAGACTTCATCAAGATTGAGGAGTTCCTGGAGCAGACCCTGTGTCCACCCACGTAACTGCAAACTCACTTCTTCCCCATTCTGGGGCCTGTCACAGGGTTGTCCAGGGCTTGGCAGATTGGGGAACCGAGACAGGGTGCCAGGAGGGGCCCCAGGGCAGCCCAGGCAGCAGATGCCCCCTCAGCCCCTGAGCCTGCTCTGCAGGGCAGGCCCTTGATGCTGAGGGGCTGGGTCCACATGGGGACAACAGGAACAGAAAAGAGTGGGAGGAAATGCACCAGCCACTGCACCCCACTCTGGGGACAGAGGGACATGGGGACGTCCCTGCAGGGACCCTGGCACTGGTGGGTTTGCCACTGGCTGTGGCAGCTGGTGTTGAGGTAGAGGGGGATGTGAGACCCCTTTGCTTGTTTATATTCAGTGCACTCAGCTGAATGAAAGCAAATGCCCTTGGCTTGACAGCAGCAATGCAGGTGGCCCACAGGGTGGTTGGGGGGTGGTCTTCCCTGAGCTCACTGGGGAGCCCCCAAACCAGCCTCCCCCACCTCCCCTGTGCCCTGTGCAGCTGCAGCCCCCCCACTGCTGCAGAGGAAGCTCAAGTGCATTTGTCACTTGCCTCCTTGAATGTGTCTGCCCTTGCAGCACGCCCTGGAACATGTCAGCAAACAGAAGACAGTTCCTGAGGAAGTCATGGGAGTTTCTGGCTTCCTGACACCCCTCTGTGCCAATGTGCTTCCTCTGGGCTGGGCCAGAACTGCCTGAAGGAAGAGCTCTGCTCTGGGGTTCTACTGCCACCAGTGTCCCCGAACTGTGGAGTATCTGCCCTGAGATTGTCCCAAACACCCAGGGTAGAAGACACAGGGTAGAAGACACAGCTCACAGGGTGGCAGCTGCAGTAATTTACATCATCATGATTCTCCCACAGCCAGATGAGCATCCCCTGCATCCTCCAGTACCAGCCTTGGGCTCTATGGCCCAGGAACTGACACTGTTGTATCCCTGCTCCATCCCTGCTCCCTCCCTGCTCCATCCCTGCTCCATCCCTGCTCCATCCCTACTCAATCCCTGCTCCATCCATGCTCCATCCCTGCCTGCACTGACATAAATGTCTTATTGAAGGTATCCACACCTGAGCCCCAAGTACAAGGAGTCCTTTGATGTGGGCAGTGACATCTTTGCCAAGTTCTCGGCATACATCAAGAACCCGCGCAAAGAAGCCAATATCAGTAAGGACCAAAGCTTGCTGGACTCTAGACTCTAGTCAACCACGCTGCAGCAGGAGAAATGCTTTTGTCTGCTGGCAAATCCTGCCCTGGGGTTAAGGTTGCTGCTGCCTGCCTCACCAAAGCCTCCTGGGGGAGAGGAGGGGCAGAGGGGAAGGATGAAGGCAGTTCTCTGCTCCCTCCACAGGGATAACAGCAGAGCAGAGGGTGGTGCTGCTATAGTCCCCTGGGAACAGAGACTGGCCAGGGTCAATGTTTTGTCCCCATGGTGTGGTCTGAGGGCTTTTTCCCTCTCTGCAAAACCTGTGGGAGGCTCAGCCAGCCCAGCCCAGCCTAATGCTTGCCTGGGAGTCCTGGGCACACACTCACTACTCTTGCTTTCCCACCCTCCCAGATTTTGAGAAGGCCCTGCTGCGGGAGTTTCAGCGCCTGGATGTTTACCTGAACACGCCTCTCCCAGAGGAGATTGACCAGGATAGTGTGGAGGACATCACCATCTCCAAGAGGAAATTCCTGGATGGAGACCATCTGACTCTGGCTGATTGCAACCTCCTGCCCAAGCTGCACATCATCAAGGTAATGGCACTGGTCCCCAGGGCCAGGAGAGGGGGGCACCTGCTCCAAGAGGAGTGGACAGGGAGTCCCCCTGCCAAAGCCAGAGAGTCAGTCTCCCCCAGGAAGTTTCAGCCTCCTCCTCCTCCTTCACTCTCCTCTAGATTGCAGCCAAAAAGTACCGTGACTTCGAGATCCCAGAGGACATGACGGGCGTCTGGCGGTACCTGAACAACGCCTATGCCTGTGATGAGTTCAACCACACCTGTCCTGCAGACGAGGAGATCGAGCACACATATGCCAGTGTTGCCAGGAAGATGACCTAAGCACAGGGTGGGCTGGGCTGGCAGCACTGCCCTGGCTGAGCCCTCCAACTCTGCAGTCCTGACACAACCAAAACCGGCCGGTGGAGAGCCTGGAGAGGGTTTACAACATTTGCTTTCAGGCACAGCACCTTGCTTCACAGCCCCTGCCACTGCCTCCTCCTTCTGTGCTGCTGGCTGAGACCCCCAGGCACCAGCAGTGCTGACCACATGTAAACACTGCTCCCATCCGGATGTAGCTGCATCCCTACTCCCCAAAAATGTTTCTCACAGCCTGTGACTGTGTGTCATGGGAAAAGCTGAGCACCAGCCTCCTGCAGTAGTGCTTTCTCATCATGAGATGACATCCCCAAATGGCTAAGCCAGCCCAGCCTCCCCATCCCCATCTGTCAGCCCTGTGTGGTCCCAGCCATCCTGTGCTTGTCGTGGGATCCCTGGGCCGGAGCTGTTTGCGTTTGCCTGTTGCCAACCTGCTCAGCACCTGGGGCTGGCATTTGGGCAGCCCTCTCTTCCAAGACATCAGCTCCCTCTGAAGATATGCAAAGGCTTTGCCTTGGCAGCTCATCCCAGTGAAAAATTGTGCTCACTGCTGAGGGCTGTGACGTGGGTCTGACTCCCCACAGGACATGGGGGTAGGTGGGTGCTGGGAGTGATGCCTGGAGCAGCAGTGCCAGGACCAGCTATGGGAGGAAACAAAGGGTTGGGGATCTGCACAGGGCCTGAGGATGAAGGATCAGGGCATCCCTCCCACGACTGCCAGCACCCATGTGCTGCTGGCTCAAGGAGCTGCACGGCTCCTCCTGGCTCAGAAGCCTCTGTGCCTTGCAGAGCCCTGCAGAGGGTGCAGCCATGCTCTAGCTCCATACCCCCTAGTTCCCACCAACACTTCTGGCACCTGAGGCTGGGAGCAGCCACAGGGTAGGGCACACGTTCAGTTTCCACACTGGGAAGCCAAGGAGAACAGACAGCAGCTGTTTGACAAAGTGCTGTGTCTGTGGAAAGGTGTGGGCAGTGCCCCTTGGCTCAGCGTGCCTTCACGCCAAAGCTGCTCTGCACAGCCATACATCCCGTGTTCCCCCTCTGACACTTCCAGCTCCCCCAGGACTCCCACCAGACCTTGAGAATTCGGCCAGCCCTCCCCAGCCTGCCCCAGGGTGAATCAATACTGTACAGTGGGCATGGTGGGTTCTGTGGGAACTGAAGCGAGCAGAGCCCCCTCAGCCCTCACTGCCACTTTCCTCTTTGCACTAAAGGTGTGTCCTCGCAAGGCCCCACATAGTACTGGGTTTGGGGACTGGGTTTGTTACTGATGGGTTTTGGTTTGTTGGGTTTTTATAAACTAAGAATAACAATAAACTATATTTTAATATGCCTTTCTGGTGTGCAGGCAGCCGGGCACGCAGGCTGCTGGCATGGAGGGTGCTGTGGAGTGGCAGGGCTCTCCGGCAGTGGCAGCGCCTCTCGGATTTAGCAGAAGTGAAGCTGTAGCTGCAGTCTCTGCTGGCCTGGATCAGTGGCTCACAGCCAACCCAATGTGTCCTGGTGCCCGGGGCTGCTCTCCCTGCAGGCAGGACTTGGCACTTCCCCTTGCTGAGCAGCACAAGGTCTGGCTTTTCAGCAGCTCTGCTGTTCACTGTGATGTGCTGTCAGTGGGAAGTGCTGTGGAAGGCTGGGCAGGTTAACCCTGGCTCTGGTGCGGTTTGGAAGTTGAGCAGAAGAGAACATGAGGCCAAAATCTGGACAAAACACATGGATCCATGCTTTCTTTTTGCAGGATCTTCCTCCCTGAGGGCTACCATGTGTCTTCTGCTCCTTCCACATCTCATGGCAGCAAGAGGGCCGTGGCACAGCCTTTGGGCATCCGGGCATCCCAGGCTGGTTCTCAGTGTATGCTCCGTCCCTGGAGACAGGATTCAGCCAGTGACAAGGCTTATCCTCTGCTGCTGAGAGCTTCCTTGCTGGAGCAGTATTTGACCTTGCTGGCATTGGGAGAAGCCTCTCCCCTCCATCCCAGAAGCTGCCATGCAGTTCCTCCTTCTGGAGGATGTGTCTGTGAGCTCCAGGTGGCTGATGTAATCCCAGACCCCTTGGCTGGGGCCATCAGGGGACACTCCTGGGGTGGAGAGAGTCTCCCTGCAGACTGGAGGGATCAGTCTGGGCTTCACAGCAACAGGAAAATGGCACAATTCAGGACAAGTGCTAGGGTCTGGAGAGCTTTGGAGAGGGAAATACTCCTCCTCACTCTCTGGAAAAAAGGCAGGCAGTGATGGAGGCCAGTCCACCAGTGTCCCAAAACACCATCCATGAGACAGGGCCATGGAAAATGGCTTTTCTGAGAGAACAGCAGTGTGGTGGTGCACACTCTTCCCAAAGCTGCAGGTACAGAGGCAGCCCCCAGACACTGGCTGTGTCAGCTGGGACCTGGCCCAGCTCTCTGTGTTGAGATTTTTCCAGTTCCCATTAGAGATCTTGTTTTTTTCCCCTGACTTCAGTTTCCAATTGCCATGCTATCAGCCAACTGGAAATGCTTCTAATTACTTCTCTTCCCCTGGAAGGCTTTAATTCAGAGAAATCCAGCTAGAATGGGTCCCTCTGGTGACCTCAACCAGGCCCTTGTTGTTGTGACTACAGCTGATGATCACCACATTTCCTGATGGCAGTCGGGAAGTGACTGACAGGCACAAGAAGATTTTAAACTTTCAAGAGCTTAAAATCCTGAGGTCTTATTCATGGAGGAGACAAGAACAACTTGTTCTATGCCTTTCCCTACCTGCACCAAGGCTGGGGCTTAGACAGATTGAACAGCACTTGCTTCATAGGTGCCGCATGGAAAGTCCCTCTGAAGTCTTGGCATGAGATCCATGTTTCTCAAGTCTCTTGTGCCCTCTTATCTTGTGGGGTGGGACATCACACTAGGACTTTCTTGAGGAAGAGGGGACAGGATGATGAGCAGCCTGAGCCTCTATTGTTTAATCACGAGGCTGACCATGACCCTGCTGACCACAAAACAGAAGCTCTAATTTCTCATGGAGTGGTTGAAGGTGCATTATCCAGAGATCATTGATTATCTCTGTTTGCCAGTTCCCATCTGTCAGGCATGGATATGACTGGGGAACAGCTGAGATGAAGCTATCATCCATTTCAAGCAGGCACCTATCCAGCTGGGACTTTTGTCCTAAGAAAAATCTGTATCTAGCCTGTTTTCCATCCTCTGGAAAATAGAGGATGGAAAAAATCAGAATCCTGCCAGATTTCGTGTCACAGAATGAAAAATCCTGGAGACAGACTCATGCCATTTGCTGTGGTGCCATGAGGAGGAAGCACACAACATCCCTGCCATAAACTCAGAGCCAATACACACCCAGCTCAGGGGGCAGCGTGCTGGTCCTGTCTGTCACCAGGAGCATGAATGATCCTAGGGGGCAGAGAGCTACTGGAGCAGGGCCAGGAAGTGGGAAGGTGTTGACTGAGCTGCCATTCCCACAGGCTACAGGAGCAGAAACCCCGTGTTGTGCATCTGAAGGGTGGGAAGTGCAGGACCTGGCTGTGTGTCACAGACCCTGAGAAGAGCAGTGGTGAGCAGTGAGGACAACACAGGGGAGGTTGTCCTGCAGAGTAAGGGCACCTGATGACCAAGCTAGGTGGTATTTGACTCTGTCAGGGTGCCCTTGGCACCTTCTCAGTGCAGACACTTGCCATGCATGCCCAGCTGAGGGCACGCTCAGACCAGCACATTAAACAGGACCAGTTTTGCTCTACAGCCCCCTGGAGTGACCTGAATGTCCCAATCACCCTGCTTGAGTCCTAATCCACTGAATTGCAGGAAAGCTCCTGCCTGGAGAGAAACCACACAGGTCTGAGCCACCAAATTCATTCTCTGCAGCCCATCAGCCTGCAGCCTTTTTCATGCACATCCTCTAACACACCACACTCAGGCTCCAGTTTCTGGGGCTCTCACAGTCCCCACCCACATCCTGGTGGGCTTCCTGACCAAGGCAAGCAGCTCAGATCACTGAGAGGGGGGTGCAGCAGGAGTCAGTGCCCTGGATGTTGCAGCTCACACCTGTCAACCCAAAAAGACTTTTGGGGCTGAAGGAGGGGGTCCAGCAGCACAGCTGGGATGCTGCTGCTCTGTGCTGCTCCAGGGACCTACCTAGAGCTACAGACCCATCACAAAGGCACCTTGCACAGGGAGGCTGAGAGACAGGGCCTTGCTGAGGTCCCAGGTCTTTGCCATAGACACAGATGTGCTGGACAGCACTTTGAGGTGGTTCTGAGGATTTGGGGTGGCTCTGGGCTGTCTCAGAGGGGTGGCAGGGCAGCTGCAGTGGCAGGCAGGAGGGAAAGCAGACAGAGCAGAGTGGGCTCAGGCTCAGAGCAGAGTGGGCTCAGGCTCAGAGCAGACCCTGCTGTTTGCAGCTCTGACTCCCATGGTTTTCAAAGGCAAATGGGAATGGTTTTGGGTACTGGCAGCCCACAAAATATAAGAGCTTGATTTTCCCCCATCATTTAAGATTCCACCACATCTTTCATGGTTGTCAGGTACAATGGTTCCCACTCAGCAACTGTGAAAGCCCCATTAGCCCCCAGAGAGCAATTTTCCACTGTGCACCGTTTTCATAGGCTGGCAGCTTCGCTCTCTGAGAATTAGTAATAAGAAATAAGCTCTTGCACAGTCCTAAACCCACTGTTTCTAATAAAGAGCTCTTTGCAGCAGCATCCCTCTCGTTGCTTTGATCTGGGACCAGCAGAACCTGAAAACACCACGGAGAGAAGGCAGGAGGAGCAGATAGATTGTGGTGAGTCAGAGCTTTCACCAGCCCCCGCACCAGCCTCTGCTGTGCCAGGGGCCTGAGACCAGCACCAGGGATGGCATCGGACCTCCAAGGTGGTGGATGGTGCTGTAGGGTGGGCTGGGTGCCACAGGGCCAGTCGCTGGCCCAGCCCTTTCCAGGCTGTGGAGGGAGCATGGAAATGAGAGAGGACCTGGCTGTATGCACGTGACTGGGGCTGCAGAGGTGATGGAGGGACTGGTCCAGTGTCCTGTGCAGACCTGCCTGGGGCTGGGGGCTTAGCCCTGACCCAGATCCATCCTCCAGCACAGTCCAGTCCTGTTCAGCACATAACAAGCTGCCTGGCAGACCAAAGCGGGATCTAATTCAGGCCCCACGCTGCACATAGTGGTGACAGGTCTCTCCTGGGACATGCTGGGACCTCACCCCACAGCAAATGTTGCATTTTCTCTCTGTGGTTCTGCACAAACCCACATGCTACTCACACCTTGAGGCAAAGCAGAAACCCCCTCTCACATCCACTCGGAAACTTCAGCTGCTGATGGCATCTTGAAATGTCACAACTCTTCTGTATTTTTCCACTCCCCATCACCAACTCTTCCATATGAGTCAGAATATTCCAGCTGTGCAGCCACCCCTAGGCCAGGGCAAGCCCCTGCTGCCAGTGAGTGAGTGCCTAAATCCCCCATGGCAGCCCAGCACCCTTGTCCTGCCACAGGCTCAGGAAAGAGCTGGTCCTCCTCAGACCTGCAGCCAGCTGTGATCAGAGCACTGGCCGTGCTCCAGTGCAGCCCAGCTCCCACAGCACAGCAGCACAGCAGCACAGCAGCACAGCAGCTGTGGGAGCCAGTCTGGTCCCATTGCACTGGCCCAGTGTCCTGGCAAACACACAGGACTGGGCTGGAGCAACACGATGGATGCTCTGCTGGGCCTGGACAAGCTCCTGCTGGGATGTGGCTCCTGCCCAGAGCCTGTGGCACAAACAGCAGCTCTGACTGATGCTCCTGCTAAGAGGTGCCTTGCCTGGGACCATGCTGTGACCTGACAGAGTGGTGTGGGGTTGGAGGCCCTGTGGGCTCTGGGGATGAGGCAATTGTTCAAACAGGGCTGCAGGCATGTAGGGCTTGACCATGATCTTGAGGCAGATCAGAGACTGTGAGGGACAAAGGAGATGGCAACTGGACACCAACTTCATAGGTAGAAAAAAGCATATGGGTAACACATGTGTTCCTCAAGCAGCTCTTGGGATTGTCTATTTTTAATTTTTTTTTTGTGTGTGTGCTAATTCAGATCAATTTCTTCAATACATGTCCTCACATTGACTGTGAGAGATTGACCTGGCCAGAAGCCAGACACACCCCAAAACTGCTCCATCACGCTCCCTACAAAGTCCCAATCCCCTTTAGCAAACCTGTGTCAGCTTGGGCTCCTCTCTCCATGGGTCCTGCCTGCCAGGAGCTTGCTCCAGTCATGATGTTCCCAGAGACCCATGGCCTCCTTTGGGCATCTGGTCTGGGCTCCTCCCTAAACTGCAGGTGGATCTCTGCTCCCTCCTGGACCCTTGTGGGCTGCAGGGCTCAGTACGAGTTCCATCCCTGCAGTAGGAGGCAGGGATGGGACATGGCTGGGGTGTCAGGAGTGACTCACAGGGCTGGAACATGGCCCTGCACAGCCCCAAAGGCTCCCCAAGCCTGGCAGCACTGTACCCTAGCCCCTCCGCCAGCTGCCTGGACATAGACACCAGTTTGTCACCTGTTCCCAGATCCAGAGTAATTTTTGTGAGTCCAAGAGCCTGGATTTGTCACCCCATTTTGAGTCCACGGATCCCAGCCTGCGACACAGCGCAAGGAGGCTTCCCCTCACCTCTGTGGCTTCAGGCACAGCCTCAAAACACATCCTGAGGAACAACTGCAGGGCAGGGCTTCTCAGCCATAAATCACCCCAGTGCTGGCAGCAGGAATAATAAATGTATCCATGGTGCTAAAAAACAGTTTTTTCCTGGAGGATAGCAAGACAGAGAATGTTCTGCCTGGAAAACCCCAAGTTTATCCTGTGCCTTTCCTGACTGCTGCACAGGGAAGGGCCGTGCTGGGTCTGTAACACACAAACAATGAATAGAGAAGCCAGTTTTCTAGAATAAATTAGTGATATTTAAGAACAACTCGAGCACAGAATCAACATTTCCACAGAAGTAAAAACCTCAACATTTTTTCATTAAAGAGCTTTATAAATATATATGTATATACATTAGAATAGCTACTGTACTATACATGCTCACATACAGACACATCTCTAGATAAGAGTTTTAGGGGCTCAGGGTTGGTCCATACTCTTTATCTCCTTATGCTGTGTCTCAAGAGCACCAAAGTCCCAGAGGAAAGTTCTGGATCCTGCCCATCCTTGGCAGATCCTTGGCGGCCGTGCCCGGAATACGCCTCTGCCTGCCCCTGGAGCTTGCCCCAGTGCCATCCCCATCCCCAGCAGGCTGGGACACGCAGCCTCAGGGCCAGGGAGCCCGGGAAGGGCTCTGCTGGCAGCTGGAGGCTGCTGGGGAGCCCCGCTGGCTGTGGCTCACTGCCCGATGGGGGCCCGTGGCTCGTAGCCAGAGGAGGTAACTGGCCGCAGGGGCGAGGGGGGCAGCGGGCTGGGGCAGGGGAGGCACGGTTCTGGTTCTGCCTGCTCCCAGCAGCCTCGCTGAGCGGTGCTGTCACCTTGTTGTGGCTCAGTCCTGTCACCACGCAGGGCTTGGGGAGCACAGAGGTGCTGCCCTCCCTCTGCCTCCACACCCGCCAGGAGCTTCACGGAGCTGAGCCGGATCCAGTGCCCAGCCATGCCCAGACTCTCCTGCAGGTACTCCTGCCTGCAGCTTCTGCTTGGCACGGGCAGAGGAAGGTGGCTGCCTGCTCCCAGGACTGGGCACTGGCATTTAGAATAAAGCTGGAGGTGCAGGGGCTGCCATAGCTCAGGTATCTGGCTGTCCCTGTCACCTATGTAGCTGTGTCCAGCCAGTCCCACTAGCACCAGCTGCTCTGGCAAGTCATCCCCATCACCTGCCTCCTCATCCTCCTCCAGCTGGGAGGGGAGCTGGGAAGCTAAGGCACGTCCCAGCTGACTGTGGGTGCAGGATGACTCCCTTCCCTCAGTGCAGTTTGGGCTGAACCCATTGGCACAGTAGCCACTCACATCCTGGGCAAGGCCTCGGAGCAGCCGTGGGGCCGTGGCTGATGCCTGCACAGCTGTGGGTGGCCCGTGGGAGGGGAGGGCAGTCTGCAGGAGCTGGGCCAGGGGGTCCTCCTCAAGCTGGAGTGGAGGCAGCTGCATGGTCACACTCATGTTCTGGAGAGCCTGCAAGGACAAAAGCAGCGACAGGGTCATCCTCAGCTGGCCAAAGCCCTGCCAGCTAGGGGATTGTGGCAAACTATGCTGAACACCAAGGGCTGCACTGCCTGAGACCTCATCCTCTGCTGCGACCCATGGCTGGCCAATGCCCTCCACCACTACCTTCCTCTTGGGGGACAGTGGTTCAGATGGCAGGGGGGGCACCTGGGTGCCAAAATGGACTTGGTGATGTGAGAGCTGGAGGAGAATTGGACTCTGGCTTGTCTATGCCTACCACACAAGGTGGAGGCTGGAGGAGGATCGTCACTCACCAGTGCTTTTGGGAGGCACGTCTGTGGAGAATTGGGAAAGACACGCAGCCACATGATGCAGAACCCGGCCACACTTAGTAGCAGCAGCAGGAAGAAGGCACTCAGCGCAGCAGACAGCCATGAAAAACCTGCCAGGATGTCACAGCAGGCTGAGGGGTCACTCAAGCACATCCCTCCCACCCCACTCTCTATCAGTGTTTCCCATCCATGTCACACTGGGATGCTTCAGGAGGCAAGCCCAGGGCAGATGACAAGAAAGCATCACCATGAGAGGTCCCCCACTGGGCAGCACTGGGCCATAACCCTGACCACAGTACCTCACCCCTCCACACGAGTTTGTGCTGTGAGTAGGACCTGAGGTGCAGCCGTGCCAGCTGAGTTGGTGAGAGAGCTCCCACCTGCAGGGGCTGCTGGAGTCAGCAGGCACTGCTCGGCCTCCCGGCTCCGCTCCCGGGCAATGCCCGCAGCCGCCGTCCGCACGCAGTACTGCGTGCTGGCCTTCAGGTGCTCAAAGCTGCAGGGCACTTCCTCACTCCTCCATTTGCAGGGCACCTGAAAGCAGATGGGACAGGCGGCCACAGAGCCAGAGGTGGGGTTTGTGCATAGCTCCGCTGCTCTGTGCAGCCTCAACATCCCTCTTGCCCCATGCTCCCTCCTCCTGGGCACCTCCAACCCTCAGTTCTTTGCCCCAGGAGGTGTTCAGGTCCCAAAGCATCTTCTGAAACACCTGTGGCATCACCTTTCCTCTGAACAGAACCAGCCCAGCTCTTCTTGCCCAGGGGAGGGAAGTGATCTCCTGCCTCGCTGAGGTGGGAGTCCCAGACTGGGGGTGCAGAGCACCTCACTCCTGCATGCACAGCCAGGGCTGCAGCATGGGCACCCTGCACCACTGCAACCTGCGATGGTGGCTGTGCTGCACCAGGAAAGCTTGTGCAAGCCCTGCACCTCTGGGCCCTGCCCAGCACCACACACACCTCCTGGACAAGCCGCTCCCCCTCGTAGAGCTGCAGCCAGTACCACAGCTTCAGCAGCACTTGGTTGACTCGCTTGTAGGAGCCAGTTCTTCTCTTGTAGGGAGTGAGTGGTGTGGTGATGTTTACGCTGAGAATTTGGTCCTGGAGCAGCAAGGACAGCTTGGGGGGGCCAACAATTGCTGTAGGGAAAGGGAAAAAAATGGAAAATTAAGGCCTTCAAAGGAAGGCAGACATCTTGTTTCTCTAGAAATTATATTTTTCTCTCTGACATTCCCCTCTCAGAGCACAGAATCTCCTTGGGTTTTGCCTGATGGCACTTTGTGCTCTGAAACCAGCTCCTGAATATTTTCTAGCTCCAAGAGTCTGCTAGGCTTTTTGGCCAGAACAGCCAGTCTGTGACTGAGAAGAGGCACATTCCCATGCCTGGCAAACACAATGAATCACCAGAGAGTCTGTCCCTGTGCCAGCTTGAACCCAGACCATGACAGGGGAGGAAGGTGAGCCTTGCAAAAGCCAAGCCCAGAGGCATAGCCTCTTTCCTGCCCATCTCGATGCATTTCCCAGAGACCCAAATTCTCACGGTGCCTTGCTGGCCTGGCCTCCTACCAATCACCTCACTGTGTCTCCTCTGTCCTTTTGCTCTTCACCCAGCCCTCCTCCAGCAGCCCTGCCTCATTCCTTTCCTCTGCTAAGAGCTCTTGACTCTTTTGCCTCCAGTATTCTAGCATGCTTTCCCACCGTATCCCATCAGATCTCTCCAAGGTCCCCTCTCCCCATCAGCCCCCCAGGAAGAGCCCAGCTGGAGGAGCTCCCCAGTCCTTACTGTCTCTGTACAGCTGCAGCTCGCTGGAACTGGCCCACTCGGACTGCTCACCTCCGGCCACCACTCTCACCCGTGCCCAGTAGATATCATGAATCCTGTCAAAATGCAGCTCACACCCCCAGGAGTTTCTGTTGTTCCCCCCACAGGCACCTGCCTTGGTCCAGTTCGAGGTTCTGCCCAGGGAGAAAGCACAGGGATTGCTTCTTTTCAGCATCCTCCCAGCCCAAAGGGAGGGAGGATCAGCATCCTCCTAGCCACTGCCATGCTGCCCAGGTGGGGAGCGTAGGAAAGCCCAGCTATCAGCCAAAAGCATCCCAGGATGTGTGAGGAGGGGGGCACCAGCAAGCTGACTCCCTCCTGGGGACAGATGGTATCTGGCACTGTGCCCTGAGCTGTGCTCTCCACAATGAGAAAACACACAGCCGTGGAGGGAGAGCCCACCAAGGAGTTGAGGCTGTTGAGGCTCTGTGGCACGAGGGAAACTGAGCAAGTGGTGACAGCTTGAGCCTCAGAGAAAGGTGACAGGGTGGGAGGGTGGGGTCTTATCAATACAAGGAGCAGATAGAGTCTTCCTCTCAGTGGTGCCCAGCAAAAGGACAAGAGGCAGTGGACACAAGTTGAAATACAGGAAATACTATTTAGCATAATGAAAAACAAAACAAAACAAAACAAAACAAAACAACAAATTTAAAACCCCAGTCCAAAAGCAACCCCTTAGTTTGTTACTGGGAGAGTGACCAGGAAAGGGACCAAGCTGTCCAGTGATGCTGTCCTGAAGTTGTTCAAAACCCACCAGGACACAGTCCTGAGCTGACCTTGCATGTGCAGGGAGTAGGACAAGCCAATCCCTGCCAGCTCCACTGCTGTGTTACTGTGGCATTTACTGCCAGACAACATCTTCTGGCTGCCAGGGGTCCCCAACAGCCTCTGCCAGAATGTAAGAGGACCAGAGCCCTTCACCCCCTCCTCCCCACCTACCTATTCCTCCACTCCACCTCGTAGGTGGCAGAGCTGGGTAAGCCGGGGTCTGGCTCCCAGTGCAGCTGGACGTGGAAGTTCTGTGCCTCCAGCCTCACGTGCTGTGGCCTCAGTAGCATCCCTGGGGAGGGAGCAGAGGGCTGTGAGGCAGTGTCCTGCAGGGTGCCCTTGTGGCCCAGTGCACAGGTTCCCCAGCTTCAGCCCAGCATGGGCAAACACTGACTTCAAAGCAGCTACTCAGCACCTGGATCCCCCAATTCATCACACACTGAGAACACCCTCTCCACACTGCTGCCAAAGCAGAAACACAGCTGACAAAACAGGAGAGACAGCACCCTGACACAGCTACTGCTGACCCTGTGTTTTTCTTTCTCTTCATACCTTGACGACCACTTGAGCCTCTCCTCTTCACAGGTAACTTCAGTAGTTCTGAGAGGTGTCCCTGTGCCTCCTCCTGCCCTGCAGCCAGGGCCCCCCGAGACTGTGGTGACAGCTTCAGCACTGGCTTACCCTGGAGCAGGGAGCAGCTGGCCAGGGAGAGCAGCAGGAGCGGGGCAGGGCTCATCCTACCACGGCCCGTCCATCTCCCCTGCACTACGCTGCCACGCCGGGGGCCATGGAAAGGGACAGGGGTGCTGGAGCTGTTCTGCTGCCCACAGACATCATGGGCTGCTGGGACCTGGGATTAAAAACAGAAGCTTCAGCCAGTGACACTGCCCCATGGAGGCCACATGCCTATTGTAGCACAGAAGTGACCACTATGGAGGGGCAGGGGACCTTCTGCTGTGGGGGTGCAGCAGGGCAGGTACCCTCGGGGCTGTGGTGGTAAGTGAACCCCCAGGGGTAGTGGGCAGCTGCCACACTGCTATGGCACTATGCACTTGCTGCAGCAACCTTCTGTTGCACCCACCTCTGGCACCCCGTGGTGAGGAGCCATACTGCCTTTGCCACCACGATGTGAGTCTGAGAAAGCTCCTCACTTGAGAAAGCTCACACCACTGGGAAGTGACTCAGCCAGCTCTGGGCATGACTCACACTGGCACAACCTGTGACACCACTGCCAGGGCAGCCCCAGCCGTCTCACAGCCTCCCTGGTACGGGAGGGCACCGTGTGTGACGGCACCCCAAGGCAAAACGGGGCACAGTGGGGGACCCTTGTGGGCTGTAAGCAGAGACCTCAGACTGAGCCACAGCAGAGGCTGGTCCCGCTGGGCACCTGCACCTGACACCTGGCCAGTCCCTTCTTACCTTGGCCTCGCCCCACCATCCAGCCACCAGGAATCTTTCCCTGCTCTTGCCGGTGACAGAGGAACCTTCCTCTCCTGGAGCAGACATGCAAGGGCTTTGAGGCTACCATCACCAACCTTGTGGTTGTGGGGACACATTCCCCTGTGAAGATGGGGAGCCCAGGGGTGCTCCAGAGGCAGAGGGGTGGGAATGCCCCTGACCAGATGGGACAGTGGTGGAGCTGGCTCACCACTCTCACTGCTTCTCACTCTTCCCATTTCACACCGACCTTGCACTGTTACAAGCGCAACCACCTCAGCATGTGGGTACAAAACATTGCCCCCCATGTCTTCTCTGTCCCTTGCAGCATTAAGAGCTTGGAACGAGCAGGAACAGACAACAAGCAGGGACGTGTAGCTGCAAACTGTGGGCGAGGGCTGAGGTGAGACCTCTGAAACACCAGAGCCGAAGCACAGGCAGTCAGCTTAGGGATTCCCCCCACCCTGAGACCAGCAAGGACCTTCCCAGTTTTGCAACAGAGCCCATTGAAGGAGGCAGCATTTCTGCCCGGAGGGAGAAAGAGCCTCCAGGATTGTTCCTGGAGCTTACAGAGGCACAGAGCTGGGGAACTGCTGGAGACCCCAGGACCGGCTGCCTGTGCAGGCAGGGACAGGGCTGCTCTCACTGCAGAAGGCAGCACAAGGGAGGCAATGCTTCCCTGAAGCAGCGAGGGTGACTGCAGGCCAGTCCCTGCCAGCCCCCCTCTGAGCCCCGGCACATCCGTTCCCCTTTCCTTCAGCCAGAGGAAAAATCCCAGCAACTCTCCCCGTGTTGTGACAATAACTGAGACTGGGGATTAACCCCCTCTGCTCTGCACATCCTCTCCTTTGTCTGCATCCCCATGACACTACCCTGAAGCACCAGCACTCCCCCCGCAGCTTGGATCCAGCATTTCCTCTCTTCCCTTCTGCTGTACCAGGAACCCACCTCACCAACCACATTTAAGCACAACCCTCAGCTCAGCAACCTCACGTTTGGCTCCGAGAGTTCATTGGAAGCGTCACCACGGTCTGCTCAGCTGCCAGGCTTCCTCCAGATGGGAGACAGTCCGTGTTGTCTGTGCCACCACGCTGGGAAATGTGATTTGACTTCGGTGGTTTTCACCTCCTTTGCTGAGCCGGGGTTTGTTGTTTTTCCTTCCTCGCTTCCTCGTTACCAGAGTGCCAGCTGGGCACGGGTGCTCAGCAGTGCCCTCTGCACACCAGAGCTGAGGCACAGCCGGGCCCAGCACATCATCCCAGCATCCTGCGCTACCCGTGCAGGGACCATCAGCACGTGGAGACAGAAAGGAGCAAGGGCTCAGGCCAGAGGTGACACATGGCAGGACAGACACAGGCCAGGACATGCCAGCAAAACCAGTAGCAGGTTTTATCCTTGCCAAGACCAATGCTGCAGGCTGGGCACACATGCCTAGGGCCCCTCATTTTGCCCTGGAGACCATGAGAGACTTGCACGTGGCTCTGCACCTCAAGAGCTCCTGGCTTCTGGCAGCCCAATGGGGCAAAACACAGCTGGACCTGTGCAACCATTGCAAGGCTAACAGAGCCATTGGTGGCAGCACTGTGGGGCTCACAAGCACCATTCAGCTCTGCCCAGAGCCCAGCAGTCGCTGCTGGCCTGGGTATTCCAAAACAAGAGCCCAGTGGCCACATGCCACCTGGGGGACCAATGCCAGGATCTCCAGTGCTGTCCCTCCAGCACTCCAATGGCCAGCAGCACTGGGTAGCCCTGACACACCCCTGGCAGAGATGGGGCTGGGGCCTGGCAGGAGCTGGAAGGGAGACAGCCACGAGGAAAAGGACACACAGCCACAGTAGACTGAACAAGCTCTTTAATACCTCCCTCAATGAGAACACCTTGTGCTTGCTGCCTGCTCAGATGAACCATTCACATTGCTGCCCACGTCTGTTCCTGGGGCAGAGGCCAGGCAGCCCAGCAGGACAGGCAGCAAAGGATACCAGTCAGGCAGGATAATCCCCCCAGAGAGAAGGGGAAAACACAAACAGGAGACGTTTTAGCCACTGCTAAAAGCTCCCAAATGCACCTGACAGCTGCACACACCAGAGCCCAGCACACGCCACACCTGTGGTGTTGCTGAGGCAGGCCTATGGCTCCCCCAGCCCCCTCTCCCTTTTGGTCAGAGGGTAGGGGGAAGCCTGCAGGACCTTAGGAGGACTGTGGAGGCTGGAAAGTTTGGGTGCAGCAGGCACAGTCCAGCCCTGTGGGTAGGGTTGGGCCAAGGAGGACCCCCTAGGCCCAGCCCCCAGCAATCTGGAACACGTCCTATGCTCAGCTCTCACTCAGTGCTTTGAAAACAGAAGGGTTACAGAGCTGGACAACTCCACAGTCTGGAAAAGGTGGGTGGGTGCCACTGCAGGCAGGATACAGGCAGGGCATCCTCAGACTGTGGCACTGGGGCTCCTGAGGGGGTCGGGAAAGGCAGTCTCTCCCTGACAGAGGGTGCCACAGGGATGAGGACTCCAGGGGCAATGATCCAGCTGTTCCTGGGCTGGAGGCACCATCTGCCACTCCCAGCAGGGCACAGGGCGATGCAGAGGGAGCAGACAGTGCCGAGATGGGATCAAGCATCAGCACTTGTCACTGCCTCTGTCCCTGCCTCCCAAGGTTAAACCTCCCCTGGTACAACCCATCCTCCAAAGGCTTTCTCCAGGTACCGGGCCACTGCCAGCGTCAAGTGGTCATTGTAGGCGGCTGCCACCAGCTGGATGCCCAGCGGCAGCCCCTCGCTGCCCAGCCCCAGCGGGCACTGCGTCACCGGCAGGCCCAGCACGTTGAAGATGGCTGCAAGAGAGAAGGTTGGCTGCATTAGAGGGAGCTCAGTGACTGGGATACATCACTGCCTGGCTCTCCCACCCTGGGCAGGCACCTCTGCCAATACAGCACCAAGATGCTGGGAGCTGGTGCTTCATGCAGCAATGCAGAGAAATGGTGACAAGGGACATCACTGGCCAGAGATTCCCAGTGCCCCCATGTGTATAAACAACATCCATGAGTGATGATGGCACACACTGTGGCATGCCAAATTTGGGACATTCCTGCCCCAGGCACGAGTCTGCCATCACTCCACAGAGCAAGGCAGCACTGACACTGTCACCGAGGTGTTCAGACCACATGGGAAGCACACAGGGAGCCCCAGGCTGTACCCCAAGAAATGGTGGGTCTTGGGTTCCTGCTAAACCCCAATATCACACACAAGTCAGACCTGCCCTGCTGTGGACAGGCAACTTTGGCAAAAGGCAAAAGATGCCACACAGTATGAAGCACAACAGCTCCACTGTCTGGAGTAACAAGACACCTCTCTGTGCTGCACAGCCCACTGTCAGCAATGCAAACACTGGATACAACACCCCAGCTGCCAGCCCACACTGCTGCCACGGGGAGACCATCTTGGCAGCCCTACCTGCAACCCCACAGGAGCCAGGGCTGCTCACCTGTGTAGGCAAAATTGAAGGGCATGCAGATTGGGGAGTGGTGCTTGGGGGCGATGGTGGGGTGTGAGGGGTAGAGGAGCACTCCATCCGGCCCCAGCAGTGCCTCCATCTCCTCCTGTAGGCTCTTCCCCATGCTCACCAGCTTGGCCTTCCCACTGACGTTGAGGTTCACCAGCTTCTCTGTCAGTCCCAGGGCTGCAGCGAAAGGCAGAAATGGGGACAAGAGCGTATGAGAGGACTGTGGGCTGTGTGGGGCAGAAACACAATGCCCAGCCACATGCAACATCCTCTGCTTCTGGGGTGGCCCCCCAGTATCCCTTCTTGCCAGTAGCCACAGCAGATTGCCTCTTCCTTCCAGCTTTTCCAGCCAGTGGGGTTGAGCAGAGTTGGCAGAACGACCCCAGCACTCATTAGACAGCAGCACAACTGCACTAATTAGGGCTCTCTAGTACCTGCCGCTATGAAACAAGATCAGTGCAGACTGTCACTGAGCCCTCTGAGCCCCTAGTAATTCTGGTGTGGCTCACAGCAGAAGTGAACCCTGCCCCCAGCTCCATCATCCTCACTTCTTCCCCCAAGGTACCCACTTCCATTTATCAAAGATCCACACTCTTGAGCTTGCATGCAACTCTAAGACACGGAGTGTCATTACAAAACTAGGCTGAAGCTGCTCAGGGCAAGCCCCAAGTTCCTTCACTGGGCATTGGAAGGGTAATACCTGCATTTAACAACTTGCCCACCCCACCACTGCCTCTGCACTTCCCAGGGCCCCTGCCAGCATTACCAATAGCTGGGAGAGTGTGAGAAGACATCCCCACGAGCCACTTCATCAGCTCCCACAGCGGCCACACTGGCTTCCCGTGGTCCCCCAGCAGGTCCGTGAATCTTTGTGCCTCCTGTAACACACCCACTCCCCCCGTCAGCACAGCCAACATGTAGCAGGGAGGCACAGGCAGGCACTGGACAGTGAAATTCTGGTTATCCCATTATCCCAATGAGAGTTATTCCCACTGTCACACAGGAGATGTCTCCCAGGAGCTCCACAGCTCTGACAGTGATCCAGGGCAGCAGCAGGAGCATTTTTCCCTGCCAGAGACAGCAAGAAGGGAGAGCCCCCCCAAAGCAGCACCCAACTAACACAATGCAAGGTGTAATGTCCCAGAAGCATTTCCTCCTGTGATACAACAATGGGATCTGGAAGAAGGAAGCAGAGGAACCAGACAAGCCCTCCTTGGTGTGGTGGGATTGGATTGTTTCATCACTGCCTGTGTGCCAGGAGTGCACAAGTTACGACACTCCCACAAGTTTATTTTATTACAAAGTACTTTCCTGCATGCACAAAGCATAGCACAGCAGCTGCAATTCCAGGGAAAAGTAACACAAGCAGGCCTCCTGCTGGAAAGCTGCTAGTCCCCTGCCTGTCCTGGCATGCCAAAGGGTGTTAATCCCAGCCTACAAGTCAGAAGACACAGCACGGGGCAAAGAGCAAGGCAAGATGCCCCCTGCTTGGCTGACTTACCAACCTGCATGGAAAAGGTGAATGTGCCAGAACAACCTCTCCCCTCCCTATTACCACATTGCTCCTCTGCTGAGAGCCAGGGCCTCAACCCACAGGACAGCAAGGGAGAAGGGGCTGTGCAATGAAAGGAGGATTGGGTGGGCACAAGGAACAGGGAAAGCCCCCGGGTAGGTTTGGAAAGCCTACAGCTCTCCACAGCTAGCCCCGAACAGCTGTTTCTTCCCTGATGCCTCCAAAGTTGTGCCTTTGCCAACTCATTCTGACACACCTGCCCGTCACTGTCCTTGGATGACATCATGGCTGACCAGATCTGGAAAGAATACTTCATCTTGTGGATTGTCACATGCTGAACCCGGACCCCGAGGTCAGTTTCGAGGTGCTCCACCACCTGAAGGGAAGAGCAAGGACATGCTTGTTTCCACAAAGATTTGATGCACTGCCATCAGTCAGTGGAAATTACAGAGAAGAGTAAGGGGACCTACTCGCAAGATCTTCCCCTTGTGTCTTCTTCACCTCTGAAGAAGTTCTTTCTACTTTTTGACCGCTGAAAGCACAGGACTGGGATGCAAGGTTGCCTCCCCAACCCTTGATTCCACCAGCTCCTGCAGGAGCCACACACAAAACAGCTCTTTCCCCTCCCCAGGCCTCCTTTGAGTGGTCTCCCAGGTTCTATCTTCAGGCTCACGCCGGTGAGTACCATCCTCTTCTGCTTCCTACCTTCTTTTGGACCTGCAAGATCTCCTTGTCCACAGGTGATACAAAAATGGACCCGCCGTCATGATCCATGCAGTGGAATTTGATTTTCTCCAGCGACACTTTCTCATTCAGTTTCAGCCTGGAAAAGGAATGGTGCTTTGTCACAAATCCATCCCCAGCTCCTCTGCAGCTCCTAGAGGTTCTCACACAGTTGTTATGTGCCCTCAAAAGACCCTGCTCTGTCCCCCAGAGTGGCAAGGTGAGACCCTGGAGACACAGACACCTACTGCCCACAACGCATCCAGCTGCTCACCTGCCCCCTCAGTCCCATCAAATTTCTGGTGGGAGAGTTCTCATTTCTCCAGAAGCACCTTGTGATTACAAACCCTGGCTGCAGGCAAGGCTGGGATTGCACAAGAGCCCGGGGAAAAGCAAAGTGGTAATAGAGAGAGCAACTGTGTGCAGGCTGTGG